AATGCTTTTCAGATTATATGCATTCAGTTTCTTTATTACACATTAAGGTTTTAAAAATTGAATGTCTATAAAATGGCTACATTAGCGGGATCTGAACTCATATGCAATTGAAAAGGCCACGAATCAGGAACCAGGTTAGACATGTACGCAATATCAGACTTGGAGGTCAGATAATAAAGAAAATTGAATCAGCTGATGCAGGGATATCTGAGAGTTCACTCATCAAGGAAAACCACGCACAATAATTAAAATAAAATTTTAAAAAAATATCTATTTCCCCCATGAAATCAGAAATACTAAAACTAAAAGTATCTTAACATGAATAAAAAAAAAATACAAGATTATTTAGAACTGAACCGTACACATTGCAATAACTGGGGAACCAAGTATTTTGCCCCATAGCCACATAAATATATATGTAAAGAAAACTCATGTGCACCTGAACATGATCAAGGACTCCATCTCCATTAATATCAGCATGAAGACCACCTTCTTGAAGATGCAGCTGGCAAAATCAATAATGATTTTCAGCAAGTAACAGCAGAAGTAAGTAAAAGTAGAATTTTCAATATTCATGTGTGCATTATGAACTAAAAGAACAAATGAGTGGTTAAGCAAAAAAAATATTTTTGAAAAAATCTTCAGAAAAAGAATAACATATAGGATTCTCTCGTAGCAACCAATAAATATCTTTTTATTATAGTGATGAAATGCAAAACGCCCATTACACATTCATGAAAATCTAGCAGTTAATGGATGAACACCTTGCAAACAGTGCGCCCTGATGCTAAATGCAGAGCTTCTATCCCTTCTTTTTGATGAGCCACAACAACATTAGGAAGCCACCAAAGCTTGGTATAGTTAGTTATGGTAGGGACATAAGGAAGAGGCTGCATCATATGAAATAACAGGTTATGCAAAAAATAATAATAATTGAAGATACAGAACAGTTCTATGCTAACACGAGCATATCCTAACGGTTAAGGCATTTAGGTTCAAATCCTCACCCCTCACTTTTGTTGTACTATAAAATGGAACAGTTTTATCTTATATTAGTTTTAGCTCAAACTATATTTCCTATAGGAAAAAAAAAAATCCTTCAGACAAAAATTAAAAACAAGGATCAGGAACCTGAAAGTGTCATCTAAAAGCTTAGCTTGCCCACAGAGACTAGGATTTGAGCTGTGCTAAAAAGTTAAAGCTTTTTAAAGTCAAGGTCTTTCAAGAAGAGAGTTCCTAATATTAGAAATACAGCAGTTGGGGGAAAAACAAAAATATTGTTTCAAAGATGAGGTTTCTGACATTTAACTCTCTGAAGTCAGATATGCTGGCTTTGTTACTGCCATATGGGTCCATGATTTCCAGAGCTCTATTTTGTTTAAGATTCAAGAATTTATACATCATAATGCAATAAAGACAAGGGAGAGTACCTTCTTAGTTTTAGCTGAACCAGCCATGTTTGCAGCACTACCAATAATTTTGGGAATCCTTTTACTTGAGTCCTTCCCTGGAGGATGGTTTTCCTCAGGCTTGTGAAAAGGATAGTTAACTGATTTTCCAGATGTTTTCTTCAGTGCCTTCCTTTTATGTCTCCTGAAGTGAGCCAATTCTAACATGGTGTCTTCTCTCCTATCCTGCTCGAAAGATCAACAAATTATAAAAGCAATCAATTGTTTACCAGAAAATGCCAATGGAAAAGTACGTTTAACCTTACCCAGTGGTGTGGCATAACTCCAAGGATTGACTCTCTAAATTCCCTGCACTCAAACTGCAATTTCAAAGCTTTAGGAGCTTCTCGCACAGAGTAAAAACTTGTGACTAGTGTTCATTAAATATTAGCTTATACGTGAAATTTTAACAGTATTAATCAATGCCAGTACAAGAATCAGTCTAATGGGCCATACCTCTCCAGGTTGTCGAGCATTCAGAGAATGAACATCAAGCTTGTAATTATGTTGTGGAATTAACTGAGATGCATCTGAAGAATGTGCCTCAATGTTCTGAAACACGAAGATAAAATAATTAATAAGTGAATGCCTATCTACAGAGAGTAACTAATTGTAGCTCCACAAAAAGGAATGACTATTTTTCTGCTGAAATAACTGTGTTCAGTGAAGAAATACCCAAAAAATAATATGAAAGAGCAAGAAACAGATAATAAGTAGAATCACCTCATTCTTCCTGCTCCATCGCTGCACACCAGATCGACCAGCAAATGCATAAAATGCAAAATGACGTAAATCTACTGTCCCGGAGTTCTCAGAAGTCTACATAGAATGCATTTACTCATCATTAACCATCTTCTGCTAATATTTAATTTAACAGAAAATGTACAATCTATCAACTATAGAATTAAGTAAAAAACTTTCCAAAGTTCAGAAGAGCAATCTCATCACTAAACAGCATAAAAACACAAATCAGTTTATTCTTTTCAAAACCCCAGTTCTCTTGATCATCAGCATTGTCCACACAGAAGGCAGATGAAAGAGACACTTCAAACATTCTTGATACAAAAAAAAAAAGAAAAAAAAGAAAAAAAAGAAGCTCATACCTCCTTTTCAGTAGCACTTCTTCTGTGCTGCTCAGCGTTCTTTTCTGCAATTCCAATTTCTTCAAAGGGATCCATAAAAATCTACATGGAATAAATTTGGTAAGGCATGTTGATTGCATAGTGGTGAATACTCAATAAAAAGGCATTATGAATTGGTTTATTTTAGCAACATCCTATCTCCAGTAGATTAATCATTAGCTATATGATTGAAACAATTGAAAGTTTCCTGATATTGACCATAGAGGAAAAAACACAAATCCGGCAGGATTCCAACTAGTATAAGGAGTGAATAAATATAATGCATCTTAAGTAACCATATTGCAATAAGACATACATGTGGCTGCATTTCCATTCTTCCACCAACGATAACCAATCCTGAATCACCATGCTTTAGGGTATAATTGCTTATAGAGATCGCAATCTCTCTGTGGTGAGCATTATGTGGAAAATCCTCCTGTCAAATGCCACCAAGAACTAGGCTATTAGTAAGCGAAATGATCCAAAGAGAATGATAGAAAAAAGAAAATACAGGATATTCAAGGACACTGAACATTGCAGACATCTCATAAAATCAAACCTGCAGATTCGTTTCCCATAACCATTTGAGGTTGTGATCAAAACACATCACAGACCAACCGGATGTAACAACAACAAGAACTTGTGTCACTGGTTGCCCCTGTCTAGGATGCCGATCAATAACTCCAGTAGCCATGGCTACAGGACGTCTACCAGATGAAATGCGTACTTTAGCAGGCAACAAAGAGACCTCTGCCAGTACACGTGCATGACTAAATCCCTCGTCTACTCGCCTACTGTGGGGTTCCAAAACCTGAGACGATCACTCAAAGTTCATTAAACCAAACTACATGGCCGATTGACTAACAAAACGCCCTAGAAGCCAGCAACATGTTCTCCAAATCCAACAACCATATGTTGCAGAAAGAAAATATACACATTTCACATTGCAGCAGGCTAAATAAACGACCCAGTTGCTCCATAAGAAAACACGCGTGATTGGATAAAACAAAATGAATGTGGTACGGGACTCGTGATTACCAGAATTTTAGCATCGTGCGTCGCAACAAGAACCTCCTTCTTTCCATCACCATTAAGATCGGCCACGACTGGTGGCGGTAGACGATCTCCCTCATACTTGATTGGGTACTCATCAGTCAGATGCATCCACGCCTCCCTAAACGAGAAATCGCCCTCGTGCTGAAATTCAAGTGAAACGCAACAATCAGTCACTCTTGTACGAAATTGAGAAGGTAAATGCAAATTCACAACACAGTATCGTCTAAACAGCAACAAATTTCCAAAATCAAGGAACGCCAATAGATGAAGTCAAAAGAAGTCCTGATCAACAACTCTCTTCGATAACTAACAGCAACGAGCATAAATTAGAAGAAAAAAAAAAAGAAAATCGCAAACCTGAAGGGAGAAAAAAATAGCGAAGGCTGAGAGCATAAGAATGGCTAAATCTCGCTTCCTCATGTTGTTCGATTCTCTTTGACCTTCAGCTTCTGTAGGTTCAATCGGAAGATTCACAGTTCACCTCGGAAAATATTAGGTCCTTCCTCACACTCAGGCAATCAAAGCAATAGTTGCCTCCAAAATTTCACCAAATTAAGGAGGAGGAGAACGCCCTCGGCCCTTCAACACGAGATGCGACGGAGACGACGCCGCTACGTACAGCGGTTTGATACTTTGCCGGTACTTAAACAATTGGGCTTGCTCACGACTGGCCCAAACGTTAGAGCTGGGCTTCTCAACAACAATTTAGTTGGGCGGATCCGTCTTCTAGATAGATGGTGATAGGCTTGGGGTCTTGAGAGGATTCATTTGGGCTAAGCCATGTTCAGCTTAGTTTCGAGTCTCCACATAGCTTACGATGTTTAGCTGGAAATTATTATTAATATCTATAAAATAAAATAAAATAAAATAAATGCTATATGTACCCTTTAAGGTAGAAGTAGTGATGTTATTTTCTTTAAATTGAAGGTGATTAAAATTAATTTATCTACCGTCTTAGACTCAAGAGTTCGTGGATTTTAAAAATGTCAAATAAGTCCACTATTTAGGGGCATGCATTGGGAGCTGCATCTTTGCTATGTCTTAGACTCAAGAGTTCGTGGATTTTAAAAATGTCAAATAAGTCCACTATTTAGGGGCATGCATTGGGAGCTGCATCTTTGCTATCACATAATTAAGTGTCGGGCTCGAATACTATTTGTAATAGTCAAAACTCACCATTACGTCACCCTCACGATGTTAAAACGCATACATTAAGAGAGAGGTGTTCACATCCTTAGCTGAATATTCGGAATCTTTCTTCCATCCGATTTGTTCCTTTGGAGAGTGGAGTTGGAATTCAAAATGTCTATTAAAAGCTTCAACGTTTGGTTTTTTCATGAACAAGGAAAGCGTATGATACCACCAACAAAACAAATGGTGTCAATTTTAGGTATTTTATTATATGTTCTGTGAACAACAAGATGGTAATTAACGAACCATAAGAAGGTTGAAAATGAAAGGCAACCACCTATCTTATTGACAGACTCGTATGAAATCCAAAAGCACTACCAAACACGACAAACACACGGAAAGCTTCTTCATCAAAAGCTATTGAGAGCTCTCATCTTCAGGGTACCAGTGTCTGTTATATATCCAAAGTGAATCGGCAGCAACAGGCTCAGCATCTTGGTTGCGGTGCCATGTATAATATGCATGAGTTCTATTCTTTATTTCAAGCATTGCATGTCCAAAGCTTGCCTCCCTATATGCTGAGTAGCTTGGTTGTGGTTCTGTATACCTGAAAAAACCAAACACAACCTCTCTGTATATTCAAACTACAAGAGGACATTTTCCTTTGATACCCAAAACAGAATTGAAGAGTGGGGTAACTTTATTGATAAAGATGCGTGTTGTCATGCCAAAAGTTGATGGTTGATCCAATTATTAGTTTTAAAACAAATAGTACTTTTAAAAGGTCTCCTACTATATAAGACTAGTCTCCTACATTAAAAAATATCACCATGGAATTACTAAAAACCAGAGGCTCAAAAAGAGATAACTAATTATTTCGTACCTGTTTAAGGCTTGTTCGTTTGAACATACCATCAAAACAATTCCTATGGTTAAAAGGGGTAAAAAGAAGAAGATAAGAACGTATAATGATACTCACCGATTAGCCAGGCCTTCAATATTTCCGCCATCACCGACTGTTAAGTATATTGGTGCATTACTATCTCTAATTGGAGTGCTTAATCGATTTGTTATATTGTATCTCACGTTGGACACTCGCTCCTACCACAAACAAAACATTACTTCACTTCAATATTTATCAAATCCTCATCTCACAAAATTACCAAAACAAATTACTTCAAAGCAAATAATAACAGGAGAAAGGAGGAAGCTGAAATACCGAACGCTCATAAGCATGGACATGGCCAGAAAGAACAAGATCAACTTTGTTTTGAACAAACCAGGACTCAAACATGACCCTCATGCTCTCCCCTTCCATATAATGGTACTCGTAACTATTATACCAAGGAGAATGAACCATAACAATCAACCACGGAGTCTCCTCTCTATTCACCTTCGTAAACTCCTTCTGTAGCCACTCATATTGTGGAGTATATGTTCCTGAAAGATCAACAAATCTCCATTCTGAGCTCTTTTTTTTTTTTTTTTTTTTT